GCCCGATGCGGGACTCGATCCAGGGACTCCAGGATCATGACCTGAGCCGAAGGCAGTCACTTAACCAACTGAGCCACCCAGGCGCCCCGAGAGTCTGGTCTTAAAAGTGCACTTTATGTGGCATAGGGAATATACTCAGTAATACTGCAGTAATGTTATTTGGTGACAGACGGCGACTACGCTTATGGGGGTGAGCACTGAGTAATGTAGAGAACTGTCGAACACCGAACCTGGTACAAGCTGTATGTCAACTATTCTGCAATAATAATAAATATATACATGAGTCGTAGCCTCAGATTTTCGGAGGGTGGGCCGCCTCCACCCTGGAGGTGTTAGGAAAAAACAAACTGTGCTTCAAAAACAGAGAGGAGGCTTTTTTCCCCCTCCTCTGAGCAGACTTCATTGCGGCTCCTGGCTCACCTCTTGCTGCAGGAGGACTGTGGGCTTCCTGGGGCTCCATGTGGGTGGGCATGTTCCACGCAGGCTCCACGCTGCATCTCAGTGCGAAGTACTCCATGGGTGGACAGATGCCTGGAAAAGTGGAAATCCACATGAACACCAGGGAACTGACGTGGGAGCGTTTGGGAGAAGACCCCACACCAGTGTGTGCATGCATGTGTCATTGCCAAGCTCCTGGGGTCGCAAAATCAGCTGCATGTGAGGTCATGGGAGTCTCAGTGTTTAATTCTGATTCTCTGGTGTTCCATCTGCTACTTTGAGCCATATCCTAAGGATGACAGCTCAGAAGCAGACTTTTCTTTCATTCCACCAGCCTTTCTGTCCAGGTATATAATGAAACAGAGGAGGGAGGAAGCCTGCCCATGTTAGCTTTGTCAAGTTCGCTCTCCCTGCAGCCCTGCTTTTCCTCACTCTTCTCTTCCTTTTGTACATGGATGCTGAGACTCTCATCCACTGGGCAGCCCTCCCATGGTGTGACCTTGGATTTTGTAAGAGGTTGTTTCTCAGGGTTTGATGGGAGCTGTCCACCTGCAAAGACCCTTGCCCAAAGTCTGGGGAGGCTCTGGGAACCTCCATCTGCTCATATTTACTTACTTAGCACTCCGTTCTTCTTTTTAATTTAATTTTTTTTAAGGATTTTATGTATTTGAGAGACAGAATGAGAGAGGGAGAGAGAGAGCATGGCGGGGGGAGGGTCAGAGGGAGAAGCAGACTCCCCGCTGAGCAGGGAGCCTGATGTGGGACTCGATCCCAGGACTCCAGGATCATGACCTGAGCCAAAGGCAGTCGCCTAACCGACTGAGCCACCCAGGCGCTCACTAGCACTCCGTTCTTCTGGGACCTTGGGGAAGGATCCCAGATCTCTTCTCTAGATTGTGACTCTTATCAGACCCACCCATGATTTTCACACTGAGGGACTGTGGCATCAGCAGTGACCAAACCTTTGCCTTCCAGACTCAGTCATAGCCTGCAGCCCCCACCCTCCCAGCAGTGGGTGCTCTGACCCTCCCTCCGGGGGCTGTTCAGTGGTGCAGATGTCCTGAGAGTGCGTCACGGGGCAATGAGCACATAGTGGTGTTGGCAGGAATCCTAGGGGGTCCTGGAGGTCACGGATGTGCTCTGTGTTCTTCCCCGTTTTTTCTCCTCATTACACATTCCTTGCTTGAGAAAACAGCTGACCACAGATTCTGCCGGCTCTTTGGGTGGACCTGTGGAGAAGCCTGTGGTAGTTGGTCTGCTGCCTGAGGCTTCGGGGAAGAGATGGTAAGAACAGCCTGTGGGTGTGGGCAGTGAGGGCCTTAGGGCCGCCTGCCAGCACCGTGCATTTGTGTGCCCCTGAGGGAGGTCTGAGACGGGTTTCCTGAGCCATGGCCCGCCCCACACTTGGCCGGATGTGGGCGTCTTGGCCTCTCCAGACACTTGGGAATTGAAGAGTGGGGTTGGAATGTGATGGGAAGAACTGGGCCAGGCCAGGTCTCGAAGTGGGCACACATCCTCCCCGTCTTGTCCACCTGCCAGGGGTGTGGTGAGGACCAGCCAGCGGGGCTTTGCCCAAGTAGTCACTTCTCTGTGTCAGACACCAAGTGCTGTTGGCACTTAGTACAGGAGCCGTGCACCAGGCTTTGGGTGCTGTCAGGCTGGCTTCTCATTGGAGGGTTTCAGAAGCACCTGCTGGAAACAGCTCTGTGTGTGGTTCTGCGGTGCAGGGCATACGGGGCACAAGCCTACTGTGGAGCCACCAGCAACCTGTTCTCTGAGCAGGGGCTTCCCGGGAGATTGTCCGCCCAGAGTTGGCAGCGTGTTCCTTGGGCCCCTTACCTTCCTCTGTTCATGAGATGGTTCTCAGTGCCCCCCAAGCACCAAACACTTGACTAGCTATGCGGGGAGCAGTTAATGAAACCTAGGACCACAGCTGGTGACTGAATTCTGTCGGGGAAACTGCATCCAGTAGCAGACAAGTAGGTGCATCCTGTGGTCAAGTGCTCCAGACACGCATGACCACACAGCAGTGATTGCCTGGGGGGCTGGGGCTGGGCCAGGGCTTACCTCACGGAGAAGGTGGTGCTTGAATTGAGACCTGGAACGGGGAAGGAACCCAGGGCACCTGGAGGGAGCACTAGAGGCCGAGAAGAGGAGAGTGGTCAGTACAGGTGGACCCAGACAGCCTGGGCTAGGAGAGAAGGTCCGAGAAAAGCGGGCAGGTCATGTGGGGCTCCGGGCATTTGTGGGCCTTGGCTGGGGCTCCCATGGGGGTCTGAGTGGGGAGGGTGGACGGGGGCTGGTGCTGCGCAGGTCTGTAGGGAGAGCAGACAGGATTTGCAGATGGTCAGGGTGGGATGTAGGAGAAACAAGGATTCAGGGACAGGGTGGCCCTATGTGCCCTGAGCAGTGTTTGGTCCTGAAAGAACCAAACTGCTGTCACCGAGGAGGTGTGGAGTGAGAGGTTTGCAGCTGAGGCTGGCTTGGACGGTTGCTTTGGTGCAGCTTGGCATCTGTAGGGAGGAGGGTGCCTTGTGCTTCTCCCTGACAGGACGTTTTGGGGGGCTTGGCACCCCCCGCACACACCTTTCCCCTCCTGCCCACCTCTCTCTTTTGGAGACAGGCCCTGCCCTGCCTAGCTGCCCACCTGTGGTGGGGCCTTCACGGGGTGTGCGAGGGGCCTGGCCCTCACCCTGTGCCGAGGAGGCCTTAGCCCTGCAACGTTGAGCCTCTGGGGCAGACACAGAAGAGGCTTCCCTCGAGTCCTTGCACTCTGGTCAGACTGCAGATTCCAGGGCGACCCAGAGATACATTTGTGTGTGTTCTTCTCTTAAACACCTGAGATCTGGAAAGATGCTTTCTTGCCCAAGGGCTTCATGGGGTTCTGTGTGGTGTGTGTGTGTGTGTGTGGGTTCGCGGTGGCACCTGACGGCAGCGGGGCCTGCTCTCTGCAGCCTGTGTACTTCAGGCGTGGTGCAGCTCCACATCAACAGCTGGCTGGAGGTGAGCTTCTGCCTGCCTCATAAGATCCACTACGCCGCTGCCAGCCTCATTCCACCCGAGGCCATCGAGCGCAGCCTGAAAGCCATCCGGTGAGTGCCAGCCCACATACTGCCTAGCTTCTGCCCGGGGAGAGTTGTCCTTTCCTCTTCCTGCCGCAGGAATCGGCAGGTAAAGCTCTACTGCTGATAGAAGTGAGAACGCGTATTTTGGGGTCTGGTTTTTGTCCAGAAACGACCAACCACAAGTTTCCTCCGGGCCCTCTCGGCACCGCGAGGGTGATGAGGCTCTTTGCTCGGGGGTCTTCGCCTCAGGCCCGGGCAGGGCTGTAGGGGCCGAGCTCCCTGGTGAGATGCGGGACTGTGGGGGGAGTTCCGTCCTGCCAGGGCTGCTCACCGGACCTCCTGCATTTGAATCAGAACTTGTGGGAACTCAGTTTCTTAATTTAACTGGTTTCCTGCAAGGAAAGAGCTAAGCTCAGTTTTTGCAACCCCCCACCCCCATTAAAGTCCCGTTTCCTTAGATATTTTTATAACTAAAAAAAGAAATCTGGGCACATTACAGAAAATTTGGAGAGGAGAGAAAGCAAGGCACTACCTAGCCGTCTCTCCCTTGCCCCGTGTGTGCTCTAAGTCCGTGTCCTTCCTCCTGGACTTCCTTGCTGAAGTATATTTTTATGTAGTTCTATTCATAGCCTGTGGCGGGGATTTTGCTTTTCCATATTTGGGACTCTTTGCTTGGAAAAGATTCATGTATTTTTTCAGTTGACAGATGTTCGCTGGGCAGTCCCGGAGGTGGGAGATGGAGTTGGGTCGTCGGGCCACCTTCAGTTTTGTTCCACTTTGTTTTTTCTGAGGGTTGTAGTGACCCTTGTGGCTTCTTAGAGGCCCCTGGATGCACTGCTCCTTCTGTGTAACCCTTGCGGTGGCCTCTTCCCTCGGGTTCAGTGTGTGTGCCCCAGCAGCGTGCCTGGTCAGGGGGCCTGGGCTCGCGTGTCCCGCTGACCCCTGACTCTGCTCTGCAGCCCCTACCACGCTCTGCTGCTGCTCAGTGATGAGAAGTCCCTGCTGGGCGAGCTCCCGCTCGACTGCTCCCCGGCCCTGGTGCGTGTCATCAAGACCACATCCGCCGTGAAGAACCTGCAGCAGCTGGCCCAGGATGCAGACCTGGCCTTGCTGCAGGTATCAGCCTGGGGGCCTGGGGACACACCCTCAGTTGGGGAGAGTGGGCGGGCACCTCAAAGCAGGTGGTCCTTGGGAGGAGGTGGGAGGTCAGGGCCTCAGGAAAGCAGGCTGCCTGTGTGCCGTGTCCCCAGGATCTCTGTCCAGCTGAGCGCCACTGCGTGGCCTGCTGTGGTGGGGTGGGTTGTTCCTGGGTTGGCTCCAAGTTCTGGAATCTGAGTCGGGGCTGGCTTTGTGAACTGGCTGTGGGGGACTGATGTTGTCCCCTGTCCAGCAGTCGTGAGGCATGAGGCCCCCCAGGTGCTGGGTGACTGGCTGTGGAGGATGGGGTGCCAGGGCTGGGGGCTTGCAGGGTTGAAGCAGGGGCCCGCAGGGTGTCACCCTGTGAGAAAGTACCACATCTCTACTTCGCCAGTGTGGGAGGTGAGGGCCCACCTGTGTGCAGAACCAGGGCCTAACCTGCTGGCCTTGACCACCCCCCTTGCGTGTTGCATTCAGGCCTGTGTTCTGTAGGAGGTCCCACCCTCTTGCTGAGCCATGTGCTTGTGGGCTGCAGGTTTTCTTTCTTAAGATTTATTTACGTATTTGAGAGAACACGCACGAGTACACGCGAGCTGGGGGAGAGGCGGGGGGGAGAGGGAGAGAATCCCCCGCAGACCCCTTGCCGAACAGGGAGCCTAACCCACGGATCGATCTCCTGTGATCTCATGACCCCAAGATCACGACCTGAGCCGAAAACGAAAGCCGGATGCCCTCAGTTCTGGCTGTGATCTGGTTGGAGCCTGGGTGGGGGCCAGGGAGTGAGGAGAAGCACAGGAAGAGGTTGAAGGTCCCAGGGCGGTTGTGCCTCCCAAGTGACAGCCGAGGGCAGGACCGCAGTCTGGCCGCGGTGGGCACCGTGTGGCCACCAGGGGGCAGCAGGACCTGTCCCTGGAGCCGTGGCTCTGAGGAAGAGGAGCCCGGGCGTGAGGCGGGTGTGAGGCAGGCCTGCCCCCCACCCCCCCAGAGGCACGCCTTTGGCCTTGGTCCTTAGCCGTTGGGGGAGCCTAACTCTCAGGCCTGTGTTTCCCAAAGCAGTATTTTCTGAGTGTGCCATCCAGAATGAGTCCTTCCCTTGTCTGTACCCATGACCTTTGTCCATCCCCCGAGACCGTCTATCGGATTCTGCCCTTGTGCATTGTCATACGGGCTCCTGGACTGGAGGGGACCCGCTGAGCACCGCGTCCTGCTCCCCTTCGTAGCATCATCCACAAGATAGAACCTTAAACGTGCTGGCTGTTTCGTACACACTGCAGAGCTTGTGTTCTGACCCATATGGGCTAAGCTTTCAAGTTTCTCGGTCTCTTTGGACAAAGACAAAGGTCTGGTGATGTCCCCTTCACTTCCCTGCCCTAGCCTCGCCATGGGGAGACCGTTTTTCCCTTCCGTAACCTTCCCCACTGAACACTCCTCAAATCAGCGTTTCCTGCTGGTGTGGTGGTCGGCCTCCCTGGCCTCTGCAGCTGCTGTTACCTATGGCAGGTGGCCCCGTGGGGGCCCCGAGGACAGCAGAGCTGGCTGAGCCCGGTTGGAGCCCCAAGCACGGATGGCCCCCCTAGGGAGAAAGTGTCAGCTTCAGGTGTGAGTGTCTTCAGATGATTTAAAGCGACTTAGGTTCTCAGGGTGCCCGGCTGGCTCAGTCGATGGAGGCTGCGACTCTGGATCTTGGGGTCGTGAGTTTGAGCCCCGCGTTGGGCGTAGAGATTGCTTAAGAAAAAATAAAATCTTAAATAATTCGTGTTCCATCACAGGCAAAGTCAGTATTTTGGGCTTTTAATTCTAGCATAATTAGCATACAGTGTTGTCTTAGTTTCAGGTGTACAGTACAGTGAGTCAGCAGTTCCGTATGTTAGTGCTTCATTCCCAAGATAAGTGCGCTCTTAACCCCCTTCACCTGTTTCACCCGTCCTCCCACCTATCTCCCCTATTTTGGGCTTTTTTGTCGTGATAAAGTTAGTATGTTCAAATATTACACAAGTTACAGGCAGAGAATCCCTGCAATCCTATATCGCAGAGGTAACCATTGTAGATTCTTCCAGACTTTTTGTATGAATCAATTATTAACACATTATCTTTGAATCAGAAAATTAGGGTCACACTGCCATTCCTTGTGATTGGCTCCCCACAGACCTTCACATCCTACTCCCTAGGTCCTGGGAATGCAACCTTATGTGGGACTTTGCAGATGTGATGAAGGACCTTGAGGTGGGCAGTGACCCTGGATTGTCCGGGTGGGCCCAGTGCCACCACAGGGCCATTGTGAGAGATGGGCAGGGGGTACGACCACAGAGGCAGAGATCGGAGGGATGTGGCCACACGCCAAGGAATACTGCCGCTCGAGGAGGTAGGGCAGCTTTTCCCCCAGAGTCTCCGGAGATCGTGTCCCTGCTGAGAGCTGGAGTCCAGCCTGAGCTACGAGTTCAGACCTCTGGTCTCCAGAATGGTGCTCTGGCTGCAGGGAGTGGTGGGAGGTGGACGGCACAGGTGAGGGCGATGGCAGGTGGAGGAAAGCGGGCGTATCCTTGCTTTGGAGTGAGTGTCAGTAAGACTTGGGAAGAGAGAGAAGAGCGGTGGTGAAGGAACTGAGGTTTCTGCCGTGTTGGCGCTGGTGGTCCTGTTTGCCGAGGTGAGGTGTCCCAGGCCTCGTGTGTCCCCATGCTCATGAGACCTTTCCTGAGTGCCAGCCTGGACAGGGTCCTGTGGTCACGGTCCTCTGGGAAGTGACTGTCCCAAACCACACCAGGGACCAGTGATAAGAAGGGTTATTGTGCGTGTGCTGTGCCAAACGCCCAGGTAGGGGGTTGGAGAGTCGGGCAGTATCCTCCGAGCTCCCACTGCCTGCAGGTTTTCCAGCTCGCGGCCCATCTGGTGTACTGGGGTAAGGCCATCATCATCTACCCGCTGTGTGAGAACAACGTCTACATGCTTTCTCCCAACGCCAGCGTGTGTCTGTGAGTATCTCTGGCCCCTGGAGCCCAGGATGGTGCTCCCCACTTGGGCTTGCTTGCTGGCCTCTGCTGTGTCCACGTTCTAATTCTGGGCTGGTCCTGTGCCACGTGGCCTGCCCCGGGCCTGTGCTCTTCCGGCATTCAAAGCCCCCATGCAGGGTCCGGCCAGTGGGCTCCAGATGGGGTGCCTGGTGGGGGGTGGGAGCCTTGATCTTGACTCGGGGGCTCAGAGGGGCTTTGGCCTGTGCCCGTGGCTCCTGCCGTCCGTTGAGGGAAAGCACCTGGGTTCTGTCCGCATGGCATCCATCCTGGGCCACCTGCCGTGCTGCGCCTCCCTGCTGTCCGCCCTGGGCTCGCGGCAAGGGCACAGATGTCAGGAAGCGATGGCGAGGCCTGCTGAGCTCATGGGCACGCTCGCCTCACCTCTCCCAGGTACTCCCCACTGGCCGAACAGTTCTCCCGTCAATTTCCAGCTCACGACCTGCCCTCCGTCCTTGCGAAGTTCTCCTTGCCCGTCTCCTTGTCAGAATTCAGGAACCCTCTCGCGCCCCCTGTGCAGGAGGTAAGTCGCAGGAGTCCAGGGAGTCCGGGAACCATCCTCCCAGTGTAAGTTCCTTATCCCAGGGCCTGCAGTGCTGCTGTACCCTTAGCCTGGGTTTTGGGGAGGACGGGGCTTGGCTGTGTAGGTGGTACATGTCACGCCAGGGTGACCCAATAGCTGGCTCCCCAGCCGAGCTACCTGCAGACACTTGGGCAGTCCCAAGTCCCAGCCCCCAACCCCCCAGTGGAGCCTAGCCTGGCTGCCGTGAATGGTTCTCGGGGTTAGAACCGAGTTAAGAGGCCCAGGTGTCCGAGAGTGGTAACCTTTCCTGGGGAGTTGCCGAGTCAGCTTTGTTTTCACTGAACTTGGGCCCTGGCTTCCTGCTCTCTCCCCCTCCATGGTCCAGGAGACCACAGGGTATGTGGGTCTAAGTCCTGGGCCCACTGGTCCCCAGAATCTCCTCATCCAAGAGGATCTGGAGAGGACAGGCCTGGGACAGGCCCCAGTGGGCCTGGATCCAGGTGAGGGACAGGTGGGGTTGCTGGGTGTGGCAAGGGCTCATCCAGGGAGGCATGAGCATATGGAATGAACTGGTGAGTTCTGGGTCAGGTGCAGGCTGGATCCCAGAACGAGCCTCTTCCTCCCTCCTCTGTGCTGAAGGTCCGGAGCTCTGGAACTCTGGGCAGGGACCACAGAGCCAGGTTGGGGCAGGTGTTGGGAGATGGGGCTGGGTGTTCTCAAGGCTTTGTCTTCAGAAGGAAAGTATTTTTTTAAATGAGTGTGAGCTCTGTTAGGCAAAACCAGTCCTTAAAAGCAAACCCTTTCCCTTCTCAAGTTGTGAATGAGGAGGGGATCCTGGTTCTTGAGTTCATTCAGATGCTGAGTGTGACAGAGTTCTAAAGGCCGTCTTTCACGGGGCCTTTGGTTTCCAGGAAGTGTGCCAGGCCCTGCCAGCTGAATAAAAGCCACACTTTGCATCTGTGCTCTCACTTCCCCCAGCAGAAGCTTCCTAATGGTCCGGATGACGGGTGGATTTTCCAGGCCATGCCTGGGGGCCGCCTTGTGCTTGGTCAAGGGGCTCAGATGGAGCGGGGTGAGGCGCCTGCTTGTCACGTCTTCTGCTTCAGGGCCTGGCGTGTGCTCTGGAGTGCTTATGAAGCCCCTTTGTTTTATTCCTTAATTCTAACTATCTTACAGTCCTTTTCAAATTTATTTGGTTTGACCAGGTCATGACCTGCCCATGGTACGTGGTACATCCCTGTTTCCATGCGTGGTCAGCCGTCCCTTCCCAGAGGGGACTCCCAAAGCCGAGCAGGCAGATGTGTGACCTCCCTGCTCACCCATGCTCGAGCTTGGCCTGTTCGGGGCTCCTCACTGGTCCTGCTGAGGGGCCAGCCCCATGAGAGAAGGGTGGACTCCACACACCTCATCAGGGCTCCCGGTCCAGGGCTGAGGTCTTTCCAGGTTGAGCCAGGCAGAGGACTTTTGCTCTGCGGACAGCTGCCTGAAGCCTCTTTGTGAACAGTGTCCAGGGCACAGTGCGGAGGCCCCCACAGGCCCAGCTCTGTGTGGTGGGGGTCTGAGCGACAGGGCCGAGCAGGGCCTCCATGTACTCGGCCCTTCTTCTTAGCTCTGGGCACGAAAGGCCGGGCACGGGGGCGGCCTGAGTGTGTGGTGGGAGCGCTCCTGTGGCCTTCCCTGGAGCAAGGAGCTGGGCTTGGCCAGCAGCTGAGGGGTCCTTTTCTGAGGTGGGAAGCCTTGTGCCCCGGGGTCAGGCCCCTGGAGCTCATGGACCCCTTGCCTCCGGGATGACTTGTGGGGATCGTGTCTTAGGTCATGGCTCCTTGGTCCTCCCTGGAGGAGAGCAAGGCAGTGGTGGGGGACCAGCCTTCCTCCACTGCCCTGGGCCTCGTGCCGCCTGTCCTGCAGACCCAGCTCATTCAGATGGTGGTGTGGATGTTGCAGCACAGACTCCTTGTCCAGCTGCACACCTACGTGTGCCTGATGGCCTCGCCCAGTGAGGACGAGCCCCACCCTCGAGAGGACGATGTCCCCCTCACCGCCAGGGTCAGCGGCCGCAGCCTCAGCACACCTAATGCGCTCAGCTTTGGTTCCCCAAGTAGGTGCCCCCTGCCCAGGGCATCCGTCTGGTGGGTGGGGGTGGCATTTGGGAGGTACTTGGGAGTGGCAGCCAGAATCCCAACATGGGCACTGCTGGGACTGACCGAGGCGCCCTCACAGGGCCGTGCGTGTGCACACACTCCCGCCCCCTATGTGGGCAGCTGGGCCCTCACATGCACAGCCACCGTCCCCTGCTGAGCAGCTCGCCCCTTGAAGGAGGGCAGGAGACCCGTCTCCCTCGTCTCCTGCACCTCTGTGGCTCTGGGCACCCGAGCAGCCTGGGATCAGAGCAGACGTCCCAGCCTCACTGGGGGATAGTTGAGCCCGCTGTTTCGGGGCCTGTGGGGAGACACTGACTCACGGTCGCTTCTTAGAAGAGCCGCTGTGGCCACCGCATGCGCCCAAAGGCCACAGCCCATTGCCAGGCCCCGGGTCCCCCAGGCTTCCCAGGTTCGGGGGAGACGAAGGGCTGGAAGGCTCCCTAGATGGAGGCCTGACCTTGATCTTCAAGTTCAGTGCAAGGACCCAGCCTCGCTCAGGGCCCTCCCTTGTCCATCTTGGGACGAGGGGTGGGATGAGCAGGCCTGCCTTGGGGTGTGGAGGCTGCTACCAGAGGGTGTGGCAGCGGATTCCCGGTGGACACGGACGGCACAGTGGGTGCACCAGGGGTGTGTTTGGGCGGCCGGCTGCTCCCTGACCCGTGCCCACCCACAGCCAGCAGTGACGACATGACCCTCACTAGCCCCAGCATGGATAACTCCAGCGCGGAGCTCCTCCCCAGTGGGGACTCACCACTCAACAAGAGGATGACGGAGAACCTGCTGGCCAGCCTGTCCGAGCACGAGCGGGCAGCCATCCTCAGCGTGCCTGCAGCCCAGAATCCCGAGGACCTCCGCATGTTTGCCAGGTGGGCGCAGGGTGACCCACGGCGCTGGGCCAGTTCTAGGGTCAGAACAGCAAGTGGATGGGGACTTACCCAGCACAACCCAGCTGAAATTCACTGATGACCAACGGCAGTTGCTGGTTGCCGTGGCGTCTCAAGCACTGAGGTGTCCCCACCTGGCGCCTGTGCGTGCCCGCTGTGGCCGGCACCGTCTGTTGCCAAGACCCCAGGCCTGGTGCCTCTGCCCGTGGGGGTCCCTCCAAGACTTCCTTGTTTCTTGTTACTCCTTCGGAAGCTGCGGCAGGTTCTCATTCTCACAACTGGGAAAACTCTGAGCCCCGGGCTGAGGGCGGTGCTGTCCAGGACCCCTACATCATTGGTGACAAACTTTCGTCACACCCAGCTTTGACTTGGGGGGCTCTGCAGGTGGAGGGTTTTTTGGGTGGGGTGAGGCTGACTGGCAGCAGGCCCCCAGTTAAGAACCGCATGCCAGGTGACTCTTGGAAGCAGCTGGGTCCCGGCCTGTGTGTCAGCCCCAGCCACACACGGCCCCTAGAGCAGTGACCCCATCTGGGCCCATGGCCGCATGGCACTCGCTGCCACAGCAGCATGAAGAAGGGAAGCCCCCGGCAGACCTGTCCCCTGCACTTCCCCACCCATGTCAGCATGCCGAGGGCGGATGTGAGCTTCAGGCTCGGGTGGCTCCAGGGGGTGAACAGCTGTGTGTCCTTGCGGACCCACGTCAGGGCACCGTGTGGGCGGCAACTCCGGGGAACTCACCCGCCCCTGTTGGGGGTGGAGGCCCCAGGATCCCTGCCGGCTCTGCTTAGGTCTGTGGGCAGCTCAGCACTGGTCCCCACCCGTGGCTGTTAGGACAGGGGCTGCCTGGGCTCACGCTGCCCTCCCCCCACCCCAGGCTCCTGCACTACTTCCGTGGCCGCCACCACCTGGAGGAGATCATGTACAATGAGAACACACGGCGCTCCCAGCTGCTCATGCTCTTCGACAAGTTCCGCAGCGTGCTGGTCGTGACCACCCACGAGGACCCGGTCATCGCCGTCTTCCAGGCACTGCTCCCCTGAGGCCAGGCAGGCCGCTGCCCTCCATGTTCTTATTCTCATCCGGCCCTTGAAACAGCCTCAGTGTCCGAGCTCCCAGCCGGAGGGAGTGTCCAGGACTCAGGCCTGCGTGCTTCCCACACACAGATTTGGGCCGTGCGTCTCTCAGACCCTCCTCCCAACCCTGGCCTCGTTCCCTGGCCCCCTCCACTGCTGCCTTCCACACGGTCACCCTGGGCGATACTCAGAAACGTGTCTGAGGCCAAGAGCGGACGAGAGCCCGGCCCGGCCCCCGCTACAGCTTTCGTATTCGCCACCAGGAGGCTCATGACCAGGCTGTCACCTGGCCCCTCTTTGACACCTGCCTCACAAGGGCCTGGCCTGGTCCACATCTTGGGGGTGAGTCTGCCCTGGTGCCCCCCACCCTCCCTCACACAGGCCTGAGGAACAGTGCGTCCAGCCTCCCGCACACCCAGGGCCTCCGAGTCCTGTCCTGGAGGGAGGACCGACGGCAAGCACACGTTGGCCACGAGGGCGGCTCTGGCGGAGATACAAGCAATACTGTTTTCTAGACATGAAGCGTTTATTTGGTTCTTAAACAATTAAAAAGCCTTGTTGGAGCGGACCCTTGCTCAGGCCCGTGCGTTCTGCTCAGCTGCTCTGTCTACCACGCTGACCCAGGGGCTGCCCCGGACATAAAAGCGCAGGGGCTTCTGGGCCCACTCTCCCGCACGGCCAACGCCCACTCGGGCTGCCGCCACCACGGCTGGCTCACTGGACCCCGGGGGGCTGCGCTCCAACCACATAGCTTTGTCCGTGGCCAGGTCCCGCTGGTCGAAGCTCTTGTCAATGGCCAGGGCCTGGCACAGCTTGGAGGGGCCGCTGCACAGCTCACGGTCTTTGAGGGCGCGGCCCGCGGCGCCCCTGCGGACGGTGCTGCGAAGCTGCCGCATGGTCTCCAGGCCCCCCAGGGGCTCCAGCGCTCGCAGTAGGACACACGCCCCATCCCCTGTGGGACACACAGACAGCCTAGAAAGCCGAGCCTCCGCAGGCTGTTCCCCTCCCTACCCCGGGGCACGTCCAGTGCTGCGGAGGTGCTGAGCACCCCTGCGCTCAGTCTCCACACGTCTGCTGCTTCCACCTTCTGCAGACTCGCACCTGCAAGGTGGGCTGTGCCCACGAGGCCCGAATGCCTGACCACTAGCTAGGGAGAACCTATTCTTTAAAAGAAGCGTGGTGGGTGCTGGTAGCCAGCCTCCTCCCCGGGTTCATCTGGTTTGGTGGCTGGCAGCACCTGTGAGGCTGGCAAAGGAGATCCCCGAGGGCCAGTCGTCTGTGAGCACGGTCACCCCACCAGGAAGCAGGAAGCCTCAGGCCTGGGCCAGATTCTGAGCCGGCCCCAGGGTACCCCATCTGCCTTACCCGCTCAGGTAAGCTGGAACCTTCCAAGCTGGAAGGTCGGCCCAGAACAGCTACCGGTGTGCTCACACTGCTGGGGGAGCCCTGCCCAGTGACGCAGGGGGAGACCATGCGGGAGGAGATGCCGGCACACAGCCCCTCACTCCCCTGGGATTCCTTCTAGCCCTGGCCCTTTGCGTATCAGTCCAAGCTGCTTCAAGTTTGTTTTCAGTCATGTCTGCACCCAACATGGGGCTCAGACTCACAACCCTTGAGATCGAGAGTCACACGCTGCACCACCTGAGCTAGACGGGCGCCCCAGTCCAAGCTACTTTTAGAGACCAGAGACCGCAGATGGACACTCTGGGCCCCAGGGCTCACGCAGGAAGAAGCATCTGCCCCAATTCCCTCAGTCCTGCATGGCTGGAGACAGTGAGGACCCTGGCCACGAGAACTCTGAGCCTCCAGCAAGACTGCTCCCCTGACCAGGCCACCCCCCGCCACCCCACCAGGGGGTCTGAGAGGCTCGGGTGGCCAGGCCAGTTTCTGCTCTTGGACCTTGGCCACAAAGGTCTCCCCACTGGCATCTGGGAGCCCCGAGGGGACACAGCAGCCAGGCCCTCTCAAGTAGCCAGCAGCTGACCAGATGCCCCTTAACCAGCCTGTTCTCCAAGGACCTCAAGATACACTCGGGGTACACAAAGCCTTGGAAGTTAGTTCCTGTGCCTCTGTGATTCCTGGGCTCCTCTCAGCCCGCCAGCCTCAGGGCTCCCTGGGGGTGCCACACATGTCCCTCACTGTCCCGCAGAGCCCCTGCACCTGGGATGGAGTGGCCTCCTCCTCCATCCCCACACCCCTACCCTGGAATGCATCTGAGTCCCTCATCCTGATGAAAACACGACACCCTAACATCTTCCTGCCAAGTCTCCCCGTCCTTACCTGCTGGTCCTCCGTCTATACCACCTGCCCTCCGGGTTGGTTCTGTGCCACCCCCACCCTGAGGGCAGGCAGGCAATGACCATGTCCTTGGCCTCCCCTCCCCTTCACTCTGCCCAGATGACCCTTGGCCTTGACTGCACCTGTGTGGTTTCCTGCCCCCGCACTGACTTGACCTGGATGGTCACATGGCCATAAAGTAATGCACCACCTCCAATGTCTGCCCTGTCCACTGTATCTCCCCCCACAACCCCAAAATCCTGGGCTTCTCCCCTTCCTTGTTGACCACAGCCCTGGGCAATGCTAGACTCTTGAGTTCAGTCCCACTTCACAAGAGGGAGTTGGTTCTCTTGCCAAAGTAAAGACAACCAAAGTAAGCTCCCCAGAATGACAAGAGGACCCTACCATCCTCTGATGTCCAGTCACTCAGCTTCACTCAACACCTGCTTTGTTTTGGGCACAGGATCAGTCGCGGGTCTCCTGTAGGCCCTTTAGCCCCTGTGGCTCTGACACTGGACGTGTCCAGCTGTCTCCTCGCTGCAGTCACAACTCCCAGGTCGTTGGAGTCATTCAACAAATGTGTGTGACACACAATATACCAGACCCCAAGCTTCTTACTGGTCTCCTCGAGCATTTGCTCCTCTTGGGATGGGCAGTGGGGAGATTCAACAGACACCCACAGGCTGGGACTGGCTGGCCAGAATGGGCCAGGCGGACCTGCTCCTGGTCAGCAGTGCCGCTTGCAGGACAGTGCTGTGGGCTCTTCTTTCTGAGCACAGAGCTTCCGGAAAACAGCCACCCGCTCACAGTGCCCCAGAGCAGGTCTCACAGGGTGAGCAGGTTCTCCTGGGAGCTCTAGACCAGCATCTCTCTGCTCGGCACTACTGACATTTGGGGCCAGAGGATTCTGTGTGGTGGGGGCCGGTCAGCAGCATGCCTGGCCTCCACCTGCTAGACGCCAGTAGCACGTCACCAGCTGGGATGACCACACATCTCTGGACATTGCCTAATGGTACCCCCCCCAGGTGGCAAAATCATCCCCGGCGGAGAATGACTGATTCAGACCCCATAACTGACCACCTGGCGAGGCTCTGGCTTGAGCCCAACTCAACCCAAACTGATCTCACCCTCGTTTCCCCACAACCAGCCCCTCCCAGGTCCACCCTGGGTCATAGGAGACACCACCTTTGATCCCTGTGACCATCGGTGTCCTTGCGGAACCAGTCAGCTCTGTGTTCAGGTCAACCCATGACCTCTATCCAGTGGGGGCCCTGGTGCCCTGACAGTGTAGCCAGCGTTCCTGAAAATCTAGCTTAGCAATGACACCTCTTTGCTTAGACACCTGCCCCGGCCTGGTCCTCCCAGGGATCTCCCAGCCGCCAACTGAAGGGACCATGCCCAAGGCCTCCTGTCGCCCCAGCGCCCCAGCACTGCTCACCTTGGCTGGAGACATTCATGCAGAAGTACATGCCATAGATGATGTACACATACAGTGTTCCTGGCTTCATGAACATGCCACGGTTGCGGGAGGTCTGCCGGCCACCCCTAGAGTGGGCAGCTTCATCCTCTGGCCCCAAGTATGCCTCCGTCTCCACAATGCGGCCGCGGAGCTCTGTGCCGTCATCAAGTCGTCGAACCAGGACCTGTGGGCAGTCCGTCTGCTCAGAGCAGGGAGGGGCCGGGGTACACCCAACTGTGACAGCCCACAGCCTGGGCGTCATCTCCCCAGTTCAGGGTGCACCAGGGCGCCCAGGTCCAGCCAGGCCCCCCACTCTCCCCTCTGTCCTGTCACCCACCCCGGGAACACAGGCCCTGCTAAGTATCCTGTCCACGGGTGGCAGCTGTCTCAACCTCCGGCCAGGGCCAGGCTGGAAAGCCAGCACTAGTCAAGTCACACACTTCAAGTCTTCTTGGCGGGGCCCTCCATCTCCCTGCCTCTTCCTCCCCAAGTCCCCTTGGACTTAAATGCTGAGCCTGGGGCAGGGCAGCATGGAGGGCACAGGGCGCCAGTGCTGTCCCCACACAGCTGCCCAGGACGCCTTCCACCTGGACTGACCACAAAGGACCGTCCTCCTCAGCTCCCACGCACCTGGCTCTGAAAGGCCCGAGCAGCAGGACCAGCTGCCCTGCAGTGGCCCCGGCCTGGACCATGGCCCCGGGTGTAGCCAGCGCCACCAAGAGCGGGTCAGTGCAGGCAGCCCGCCAGGGAGAGGAGCCAGCTGCAGGTGGCCCAGACAGCACCCCGGGCAGGGGTGAGGCCCAAGGGGACAGAAGGGCCAGCTGAGGACAGGGCAGGGGCTCTCAGGTCAGCAGGGCACCTTGGAGAGCAGTCCAGGCCACAGGGGACCAGGGCGGGCCTGTGGAGCGCTGAGTGTGCCAGTGAACTGCATCTTCCTCGGCCCGAAGCCTTTCCGCCTATTCCTTGGCTACGTGACAGTACCTGTCCCAGAAATGCCCGTGCCAGGGGGACAGCGGGCTGGTCGAAAAACTCAGATCCCAGCTGTGCAGAGTGGCTTTTTGGGCTTGAGAAGTAGATGCTGCGCTGGGGGCTCAGGGCTGCAGGTGGCCCCAAGCAGGGCTCCAGAGGGGCAAGCATCTGGGCTCTGTCTGGTGGACTCGGATGCCGTTCTGCCTCCAACAGCCGCTGCTTTTTTTGCCCCATTCTGCGGGAAAGCTGTAATGTGAACAGACAAAATAAATCTTCTGAATAGGTTTTGCGGTGAAGTCAGAGTGGAGGAACTGTATTCGACTGCCGGCCTCATCCGTCAAACGGAGGCATCCCCTTTGGGGGTTGTAATGGTGCCAACGGAACCCGATACCTGATGTACTCGGCCCTGTGCTGGGCCCCCAGAGGCTCGGGAAGTACCTGCGTGGGAGGACAGGCTGTTGGTGGCATCGAGAGAGTAGCCACTCTGATCCACACACTGTCCACGTGCAGAAGATGCACAGGCTGATGGTAGAGGGCTGCAGGGCCTGAGGAGGGGACAGTGGGGACTCCAGCCTAGGGCAGGAGGGCTGGTATCCTCATTCCCACTCATGACGTGGACCCCAAACAAACTTCTCATCTTGTTTCTGGAACCCAGCCCTTTGCACTGACCCTAACCAGGAATTAATTTTTTATATTTAAGTAATTTCTACACTCAAACATGAGGCTCAAACTCATGACCCCAAGATCAAGAGTTGCATGCTCTTCCGACCGAGTCGGCCAGGTGCCCCCCTAACCAGGAATTTAAAAGCACAGCCATGACCCTGATGGGGTTTGGCCAAGGAACGTTTGTGGTTTGTGGGTCATTGTGTCCTCCACAATCCCTCCCACCCGGCTGATGTGTTGGTAGGGCTGCCCTCCTCAGAATGGCCAGGAAGGCCTGACACACACAGGTCGGGGAGCACCAGGCTGTCTTCTTTGCTCCAACCCAAGTGCTCAGGGCATGACCCCTGGTGAGTCCCCAACTGTCCTCTCTCTCAGGATGTCATAATGATAAGGAGCAAGTGGGGCAAAGGTGAGTTCTCCCAAGGGACAAGACCTAACCTCCCACCTGCTGCCATGCAGCCTGAGAAACCTGACCACACACACTCAGCTGTTCTGGGACCAGCTGCTACAAGTGGGAGAAGATGAAGAACAGGTGAGCACTGGGGCCTGGAAACACCCTCCGCAGGGGCTGGTTTTCAGTAGTACCCACATTTCCTTGGCATGAGACAGACCCATTATTTTTAACATAAGTGCTGACGTTCCAGATCGAAAGGAGACTGCCAGTCTACTTAGAGTGGACACTGACGTGACCGTCTCTGCAGCCCAGCCCATCTGCCAGTACCCGCCATGGGCTCAGACGCTGGGACGCTGCCACCTGGAGTTTGGCCCCCTGCCTGCCTCATGGCACTCGGGTCATGCTGGGTCAGCCCTGGCCCACCCTGGGTGGTGAGGGACTCACAAAACTGCGCAGCCACTGAGGCTCAGAGAGGCCTCAGTTTCTCTATTATAGACCTAGAATCTGAACCTCACAGGCCTTCGTGGCGGTTTGGCCGCACGACTAAGTAGCGGGTGACCCTGCTGTTGCACTCAAGAGTGAGCACTGTGTCAAATCGTGTACCTGGGCACCTCACATGCATCCCTGGCCCTGGTTAGCAATGTGGGCCCCCTAAAGAAAGGGCTCCAGAAAATGACCTCAAGTGTCTGTGCCTCTTTCCTCATCTGTAGAAAGGGACCGAGTTATCTGTGGCACAAGGTGGTTAGGAGGAAAAATGAGAGAAGTCTGGCCGGCACGTGGCTGGCATACAACAAGCACTCCATGAACGTTAGCAAGAAACACCCTCCTTCCAGGATGTGTCCAGGCAAAACCTGGGGACTAGGCTCTCTGGCAGAGCGGGTCCAGCCGGCGGAGGGCAGAAAAGAGCCTGGCCTGGATGTGGGTGTCCAATGGACCCAACAGCCCTCCATCAAAACCCGGGCAAACAAGGGTTAGTAACTACGGAGAGAACACTGATCCGGCTGTGACTGGCGCTGAAGTGAGGAGCGTGAGAAAGTGGCCCCTTGGGCTAACCCAGGTCACTTCTGTCGCAGCCTGGCCCCCGGGGAGGGCATGTCTGAGCTGGGCCTCAGTGCAGCGCATTCAACCAGGAAATCGGGGTCGGGGGCTCCTTCCAGACGTCACTGGCAACCTCGGGTCGGGCCTCGACTTTTCCTAACAGCAAAGGGAGCGGCCGAGCCGGGGCCGCCACGCCGGTGGGCGCCCGTATGGGGAGTGCAGCGCCCGTCAGGGGCCGGCGCGCACGTTACTGGTTTTCCCCGGGTGCTCGCTCAGCGCTGGTGCCACTGCGGGGGAGATTGCCCCCCCGGAGCCCGTTCGTCCCTCGGCCGCAGCGCGGGGCTGCCGTGCGCGCAGCCAGAAGCGCGCGCACCCGGGCGCGCACTCA